ATACAAAATATATCAGTCAAGTGATTTCAACCCTGCTCATAAACTTCTTCAGATACCGGTAACCCACCTAAACTAGCTGAATATCTATTACTACATTGGCATGCAGCTCCAACATGGTGTGACTCCCAAACTTTGCACAATGTCCCGGGCTATCGGCCCGGCCATCACCTCCCAGGACCAGGTCCCTTCCCTCTGCCTGAAATGTGGCAAGCAAGAATGTCTGTCTCATGTTCCATACTCGCTGGACATCTGGCAACAAAACACTTCTCTGGTGCCGGAAATATGTCCGTGAAGATATGGTCGCCAATGCCATGGTTCTCATAACCCGCAGAGCCTTTCCTGCAGTGGCACCTGCCAACAAAATTGAAGTGGACAAGAGAATGTTGCCCGCTGGTGTGCTGCCGATGTAGGGTTGGCTGTTCCATGTCACTTTCTTGTAGCAAGATGCACATGACAACGTAATGACTAGGAGTGAGCCAATGACATTGTGGCAAATGTCAACTGAACCACAGTCGGGGCAGTGGCACCAGCTGAGCAACCTCGTGAGGCAAGTCATGAAGACAATACACTTCTTCTTCTTGTGGATGGGTGTGACAGGCTCATCCATATCCGGCTCACTGTTCTTCTGGTAGTCATCTTCTGGGCCCAGGAGTTCAAAACTTTTAATCCCTATCTGATCAAATCAGATTTGGATTTTGGGGAGTTCAAAACCAAAAAACAGGATTAGGATCACTTTGATATCCGATCAGATCAGGAAATCCAATCCAAGCTTTAATCTGGATCAAATCTTCAAAACGGGTAGTTCAAACCGACAACACAGGATTGGGATCAATTTGATCCCAAAAAACTGGATTATCCTGATCCCACCAGAGGGGTGGATTTCCAGTGGATTACCAGAGCAAAATGTACTGTACAATTTATTTTAAAATATGTTTCAATTTAAATTAGATGGCAAAGTTTGTTAACTGAAATAATACACAATTTTTAGCCTTCATGGGAAATACATTTTATTTTTCCATTTTTTGCTCACGTTTGTGGTGGCCTATTTTGTTTTCAACCAAATGTTGATGACATAAATGTTTATGCTCATAAAAGTATCACAACAAAGATTGTCAATCACAAATGCAATTTAGATTAAATTAAAAATATCTTCAACAAAAAAAAGTCCATCTGTCATCACCTTTCAAAAGTAATTGCAGACAATAGCATCTCGCCTTGCACCACCACTCAGTCTCTCATTTAGAGGGAAATCCATAGGTGGGCCTAGATCATCAGCAGGTGCGAGGGGCTCTGGGGGATCATCGATGTCAGAGAGGGGGACTCTGCGATGGACAGCGATATTGTGTAGCACAATACAAGCCAGTGTTATTTGGCATGCTCCTTGGGGTTCCACTCTCAGATAGTTGAGGCATGCAAAACGCCTCTTCAGTACTCCATTCAAGCGCTCAATGGCACACCTTGTTCTTCCATGGGCATTGTTGTAGCGCATCTGTGAGGGAGTGTTGACCGTGGGAAAAGGTGTCATCACCCATGGTAGGAGTGGGTAGGCACTGTCGGCTAATATAACTCCATCCGGCCTGTTGGTTTGGAATTCAGTGAATAACCGGCTCTCTGAAGATACGTGCATCGTGGACTGACCCAGGCCATCTCACAACACAGTTGGTGATGGCAAGGTCAGCATCTCCCACAAGTTGCACATTGATGCCTCCCTTTCCTGTTGACATATTCCCACTCCCTCTGACGAGGTGCTTGAATATGTACATGGGTGCAGTCGATCACCCAAATGGTATTGGGCATGTCTCCCAGAAGAAAAAACTTCTGCTTCACTTTGGCAATCTGGCCATCAGTGGGAAAAGTCACAAAGTGATCCAGCAGGCGAGCCAGTGCATCAGACACAGCTGTCACCACTTCACCCACTGTTGTCCTGTGGACTCCCATGCTGTCAGCTATGACCTCATAGAATGTTCCACATGCGTAAAAGCGCAGGGCAATGAGGGCCTGTTCCTCTACAGTCAGAACATGACTCCGCAAGGTTCTGCACTGCAGTTGTGGCCTGACCAGATCAGCAAGTCCAAATCGAAAACGATTGTACAGTTCTTCTGTTGTGTACTGTTGGAGAGGTTTGGGGCGCTCGGTGTGGACCCTTTGGCGGTAACCTCTCCTTCCAGCATGGAAGATGTGAACAATCCCTGCCATGACTATGTTCTGACTGTTGTTTCAGTCAGTCTACATCAGTCTCTGAATAACAACTAATTTCAAATACACACCTGGAATGAATGTCCAGATTGGTTAGGGCCTGTGGTTAATTATGTAATTAATAGCAAGGCCAGACCTATACAACTAATTGCTGACCTGACCAAACCATTGAGTTGGAAAGATGGACAAAAAGGGGCCTAATTTTACATCTGCTGAGACCCATGCACTGCTGCTGGGTGTAAGGAACAATTATGACTCCATAGTTGGTAGCTTTAACAGAGAGGGTGGAGCGACTAAAGTAAAGAGCGGAATATGGATGGAAGTTACAGACAATGTGAATGCCACAGGATCTGGACACAAGAGGACGGTGGACCAAGTGAGGTTGAGGTGGAAGAATTTGAAGCAGCAAGCTACCAAAGACCACAGCCAGGCTAAAACCCACAGACGGGTAACAAACCACATAAAAGGGGACAATACACAGATGTGGTACTTGATATCATTGGTGGTCAGCAGTCACAATCTTTACATGGAATACCAAACGTTGTACTGGATGGTGAGTCGCAAGTATGTGTGATTGTATCCTTGTTCCTATAGAACTACAATTATTATCTTGTATAATTGTTATTTTCATAGTACTACAATGGCTACATGTCTTACATAGCATCCTAGTACTACAATTTTCCAGGTTGCATGCTTGTGATCATCTTATTAAGGGGTATAAAGTATATTGATACACTTTCATTTCAGGTCGTCAATGCACCTGATGTGACACACACCATTGAAGATGAGGTCCTCCTGACCCATGTGGATCCAGAAGCTGGACCTTCAGCCAGGCCTGATGACACACTGCAAGAGCTACCTCTAAAGAGAAAATGCAAGCGCACCAGAAAACCAGAGTAGAGGGATGATGCCTTTGAGACTCTGTTGAGCCGTGAAACGGAGAGGGCAGAGATGCAGATCCGTCTGGCCGAAGAACAAATACAGCTGTGCCGGCTTCAGCAAACTGAAACCTCACTGAGAATTCAGCTCCTCAAAGCACGCCTGGATGATCCAGCTGCCTTTGAATGAATGCTTTATTGTTGTTACCCTAGTGGGAGTATTTTTTTGATGTCCTTTATGTATTTAAAAATATAATTAAACATTATAGATGTCTCTAAAATGTGGTCTCTTGTCTTCCTTGTATTCTTTTTCATATCCACTAAATGGCGATCGGTAGGATTAAAGCACTGATATTCAGGATCTAGTCATCTTGAAAAATCGTAATCTGGATCAGACTGATCCTATCCTGAATTGCTTTGAATTCCAGGGACAAAATTTGGCCGACTTGTCTGATCCTGGATCACAAAAAATGGGATTTCAAAATCTGATCTGATTGAGATTAAAAGCTTTGAACTCTTGGGCCCTGGTGATGGAGGTGATGCCTCTTTCTTTGGGGTGGGAATTATGTTGCATTGACTGCCAGTGTCTGGGAACAGCTTCCTCTCTATTGGAGACCCTGAAAAGAGATTTCCAAATATGAAAAACCAATCATCAAACCATACCAGTAATATTTTTGCAAGAAGGTAATAGGCAACTATTTTATAATTGGTAGACAAAAAATAAAAAAACACAAGTGGTCATTCTTTATTAATGTTCTTCTTCTGCTTTCTTCAGCAGCTCTGGAAAGAAGGACATTTGATTAAAGACGTATGGGACACAATACACACTGCACAGTTTCACCCTAGCTTGAGTTAAATTTGCCTAAAAATCATAAAGAAAAACGTTGGAAATGAGAGCAATTCACTACTCTGAAAAAACATGCCATTGCTTAGGCAACTATTTTATAATTGGTAGAATTACCTAAAGCAGTGGTTCTCAACCTGTGGTACGCGTATCGTTTCACCACAGAGGAAAGCACTTCACAAATTGCGGTACCCAAAAGGAGCTGTACAAATGCCGCAGTTTTTGCGTGGCTGTGTATTTAGTTGAAAGCCCAGTGGCGATCTGCTCATCTCTCATAGAAATAATATGCTACAAAGGAGCGGACTGGCCATCTGTGTGTTGAACTTTCCTGTCGGCTCCCAGACCGTAGTCGAGGAGGGCAGAAGCAACAAGCTTCAGGTTCAATAACCCACTTTAGCTTAAATGACTGGAGAGAGGCGAGCTCTTCTTGGGAGGCCGTTGCATTTATTTAGCTGTTCTTCTGTTACATCACAGACCTCTGTTTTTCTGCTTCCTCGTTTCACTTCCAGAAACATACACACGTTCTCTCCATAGGTTCTCTCACTGTCGCTCTACCATCCACAAACCCACATGCACAAGCCACACCCCTCTCTCTCTCACTGTCTCTCTTAAAGGGACAGCGATCTCATCTCACTCTGCATGACCCTAATATCACAACATGTGTGCTCTGGAGAATCACAGAATGGACGATCGTCCTTATTATTATGCCGTTTAAACCAATTATTTAAATGTGCTTGTTAAATTCGGCATCATGTAAGTTGCGCTGACAGGTCCACACACTGCTTCCCCGCAGCGAGGCTCCCCCGCCCTCCTGCTGATAGTTGACGAGCGTCAAGCTCCTCAACCCCCCCCCCCGTTGATAATTCTCGATCTTGTTGAGCACGCTGATAATTTTTTTTTTTTTTAAATGGCACTTCATATCAAAAAGGTTGCCGACCCCTGTAATAGGCTATTGTTGTTTTTAGATTTAGAAACGAAAAAAAATGTTTTTATTTATTTTTGGCGTTGCTATGACGACCATACTACCCGCGAAAGATTAAAACGTTGCAAGCAAGCTATGAAAGAAAGAAGAAAGCTGAATTATGCTAAAAACGTGGCTCAAAACGGGAGGTATACGAAAGAGAGGTAGAGAGGAGAACATTACCAGCGAAAGGGAACAAGTGAATGAGGAGGAGGAGGACAGTCAAGCGAGCGCAAGTGCAGGCTCCACCAGCAACGCAACAGTGATATGCGCAGCCACAACGCCGCCCAGTGCTAACGCTGCTAACGTAGCTGCGAGTGACTCCATCAGCAGCAGCGCAAGTGAGTCCATAAAAAAGAGACACAAACCAGTTCGGAAATACAACCACCAGGGTTACATTAAAGTTGGATTCAGCTGCAGTGGGACAGATAATGAGCCCAGACCACAGTGCGTGATTTGTGGTGAAGTGTTAAGTAATAATTCTATGAAACCATCGCACCTCCAACGGCACCTTACAACTAAACACGCCCACCTGCAAGACAAGCCAGCGGAATTCTTTACAAGAAAATGTGATCTACTGAATAAGTGCAAGTCAACGATCCAATCCAGCTGTACACCCATAGCCAAGGCCCAGGAAGCCTCGTATCGTGCCAGCCTCCGCATTGCAAAAGCCGGTAAGCCACACACAATTGGCGAAAAACTTTGTCTCCCACTCGCAAAAGAAATGACAGAAATCATGTGTGGCGAGAAGGCTGCCAAACAGTTAAATTTGGTGTCACTTTCAAATGACACTGTGTCACGGAGAATAGTAGAGATGGCAGACGATGTTAAAAATACATTGATTGAGCGCATTAAAAGTAGTAGCTATTATTCCATCCAGCTGGACGAGACTACTGATGTTGCAGATTTGGCCAATTTGATGGTTTATGTCAGATATGAACATGATGGTGCAGCTCAGGAAGACTTTCTGTTCTGTCAACCACTGGAGACCAGAACAACAGCTGAGCACATATTCCAGCTCCTAGATGCGTTTGTGCAAGAGAATGGACTTGAATGGAAAAAGTGTGTTGGAGTCTGCACAGACGGCGCGAGGGCTATGACTGGCCGCCACAGCGGAGTAGCAGCTCGGATCAAAGAGGTCGCACCGGAGATGCGATGGACACACTGGCGGTCAGAGATGGGGACTCGAGTCTGTGACTCGGACTCGAGTCACACTTAAGTCGCACACACAGAGACTTCAGACTTGACTTGGACTCCTGCTCAAAAGACTTCGGACTCGACTTGGACTCGTGTTTTGGGACTCGTGAACAATCATTGTGTTTTCTATTTTTGGCGTATTAAAGGTGGGGTAGGTAAGTTTGAGAAACCGGCTCGAGATCGCTAGAATTTGAAAATACACAACCGGAGAAAATCTGCCACTTCCTCACAGAGCCCCTCCTCCAACACACACGAACGCGCACATGACCAATGAGGGCACGAGATACGTTTGTGCCCCGATGGGAGGCTGACAGGCAGGTAGGCCATCCAGTTATTTTAGCCGGGCCGGCTATCGGGATGTTAAGAGCATTCCATGGAATATAACAAAAAGTGTATCTCGAGCCGGTTTCTCAAACTTACCTACCCCACCTTTAACATTAACATCATGGTAACACCATGGCGACCGGCGGCACACCTGCAGCTGTCCCGCTTGTAATTAGGTTCAACTATAAAAACTTCGAACAAAAACGCCGGCGGCACCAACAAAAGGAGCGCACACTGCAAAGTCTGCAATATTAAAATCAAGGATGCTGGTGCAACAACGTCAAATTTCATCAGGCACTTGAAAACTCACCCGGAGAGGTCAGTCACATTAACGCATATGGACGGTTAGCAAACATGTTTAGCTCAGCATCAGCTATATAATGTTAACTTAGCTTGCTACTAGCTTTGTAACTGAATATTTGAAAAGATGAGTGAATGTTTGCTTGTCACACTTGTTTGCGTTGAGTGGCGTTGACATCCAACTCTTGACATGACATAAAAAAGGTCGGTAACGTTAATCATTACGTTCCGCTGCCACCATCTACTGGCTAACGTTAAACGTAGAAAAATACATCGTTACATACATAAATACATCAGGTTACAGGTTTATTGTTGACCACGTAACGTTAATGTTACAGGTTTATCAGGTTACCATTGCACTGGGTTTGAGTGAGAGGATAGAGGAATATGTTTATTTATAGTAGACTTAAAAGATGTCATTAGAGACCCAGTATAATTAAACAATACGGTTGCAGAGGTCACATTTTAACATTTTTGTCCACTGGCCAAATGGCTAGCCTAGTGAATGTTGAAATGTTACCAGCCACTCAATAGATTGCCATTGTTATTTTTGGCTGGTGCGCGCAACATACAGTACCAGCCACTTGCATGATTTACCAGCATTTGGCTGGTAAATGGTGTTAATGGTAGATATCTCTTTTGGAACAGGTCATGTTTTAATATCACCAGTTCAGTATATTTCAGATAATATTGCAGCAATAGTTTTTTAGTTGCAAATGGCACAGAACAAATGTTTACTTTTAAGTACTTTTAACACAGTTTCCCTGCGGGGGATTAATAAAGTATTTGTGATACTGATTTCTGATTCTGAAGTGTTTTGCTTATAAGTTGTTTGCATTTAGCTAAACTGTGATATTTGTCCTCATATTGCATTGCAATAGCCTGTTTAAAGTGATCATATAACAAACAACTAATCAGTACTGATACTGTATGCTAATAGATATAGGAGTGATAATAATACAGTAAATGCTTTGAATGTCTTAGATATAGCTGTGCAGTATTCTTAACAGACTGGATAGCAGCAGACAATAGAAGGCTTATTACAACCAGAAGAGACATGAGACTTTTATTTTTTAGAGACTTGAGACTTGACTTGGACTCGTGACCAAAGACTTGAGACTTGATCAAGTCTCACCCCACAAAGACTTGAGACTTGACTTGGACTCGTGACCAAAGACTTGAGACTTGACTTGGACTTGCAAAAAAAGACTTGTGAACATCTCTGCTGGCGGTGAAGAAGATGCCCGATGGCTTGAAGTCTGTGCTGGACTCTGCTGTGAAGAGTGTGAACTTCATAAAGGCCCGACCGATGCAGTCTCGCCTATTCCAAGTGCTCTGTGATGAGATGGGCAGCGAGCATGTCCAACTTCTGCTCCATACAGAAGTAAGATGGCTATCAAGAGGGAAAGTGCTTTCAAGGCTTTTTGAATTGCACAGAGAAGTCCAAGTCTTCTTACAGGACAAAAACTTCCGCTTATCAGATGTGTTTGATGATACAGTGTGGCTCAGCCAGTTGGCATACTTGTCAGACATTTTCTCCCGTTTAAACGACCTGAATTTGGGACTACAGGGACTCTCCATCAATGTGTTTGATGTGCAGGACAAAATCAATACAATGCTGAAAAAGTTGGAGTTATTCGAAATCAAAGTCAAGGCAGTTGATGTTTCAGCTTTCCCTGCTTTAGAGAGTTTTCTGTCTGAGAACGAGCTGACCCTTGATGAAGGAGTGAGGGACAACATGGTTGCACACCTTGTCTCGCTCAGACAACAGTTCCGCCAGTATTTCCCAGTGATGACCGAAGACAACAGCTGGATGAGAAGCCCGTTCAGCATGGAAGCCTCTGGACTGCCAAAGAACTTAACTGTGGCTGAGCAGGAGAGTTTAATAGAGTTGTCTTGTGATGAAACACTAAAGCCTGCTTTCAGAAAGCAGTCTTTAGTGGACTTTTGGATAAAGCAACACAGAGAATACCGCGCCCTGTCTGACAAAGCTGTGCGCTTTCTCCTTCCTTTTGCGACCACATATCTGTGCGAGAAAGGCTTCTCTTCCCTTGCTGTTATTAAAACCAAATACAGAAGCAGGCTGAATGCTGGGCCAGACCTGAGACTGAAGCTCACCTCGATTGCCCCAGACATCAAAGGACTGTGTTCACGGAGACAGGCGCAACCTTCTCATTATATTTAGGTGAGTTGTCAATGGACACCAACGTGTGGCAGAGAGAGAGTGAGAGTGTGTGTATGAATGAAGTACTGTACAGTTGTCATTTGTTATTATTTGGTTCTGTTCTCACGTGCGTGCGTGCGTGTGTGGCCTCAAATATTTCAAAATGAAAAACTAAAAATACTACTCTGGGAATATAAAGAGAGCTGCATTGTTGCAGGACAGTTTGTCTCTGCCTGCCACAGTTTGAGAGAATCAAACTGAGCCAAATTCTAAGCAGTTTGTTTATAACTGTTTGTGTGTATTTGTGTATAGATGTTGCAACTTAGAGCTTTGGCAATATATGTCACTATGGTCATGCTATTAAAGCTATTGCATTTAATTGAGTGTGTGTGTAATTGAAGTACTGTACAGTTGTCATTTGTTGTGTGAGAATAAGTTATTATTTTGTTCTTTATGTTCTCACTTGTAGTGTGTGAGTGAGTGAGTGATGAGTGAGGGGGAGAGGGACTGCCCTTTGTACAAGTAGCTGTTGCTGACAATAAATAATGTTATTATGAATACATTTGCCTCCGAGTCCTGCATGAACTGTGCATAGACTGTATTTTAACATTGGTCATATGGTGGTACTTGGAGAGCCAACTATATTCTCAGGTGGTACTTGGTGTAAAAAGGTTGAGAACCACTGACCTAAAGGATTGTGAAAATCACTGATATTTTTTAAATTCCAGAACATTGCAGCATGTTTTTTTTTTTTTAAAACGCATTTGCAATAAACTGTATTCACCTAAAACCACATAGTACAGTCTTACCTTCTTTTAGTCTCCTTATTTGATCTGACTTAATTTTCAGTTTCTGTTCAAGCGTGTTACAGTGGTAATACAAATGAAATCATTACATTAAGCAGGATAAGGACAGTGTCAAATTATTTATCTTCTTTTTATTTTTCTGTAAACCAGAGGGACGGAGCCCCTGCAGCTGCCGAAGGGCGAGCCTGACACCGAGGCGGTTGCCGTGGGCGTCTCTCCGCTTGCGGCCTCTGCTGCCGCTGTGGATCCTGAGAGGACAGACTGAAAAGAGTCAATGGAAGCTTAATAGCATTTAATAGACCGTCCAGAAAAACGCGATTCTGCGATCGCAGAATTTACCGCATAATCAGCAAAATGGCGCAGCCTTTTAAAAATCTGCGCCAAATGCATAATCTCCGCATTTTTCCACACAAAGTTGAGGGGAAAAAAAGTTAACTCGTCTTGAAGTGATGATGATGATGATGCGACGTCATCAGCTCGCGCATCACAGAAGGTAAACAACACCGTAGAGTGAACGTGTGGAGCTCACACGAGAGAGAAAACACCAAGATGAAAAAATCTAATCCATCTCATTTACCGACAAACATTTCTGCTAAAGACCGGGCAAAGCAGTACCCCGATGTCTTGCACGAAAGTGGGTGAAAACTATTCTGCACCCCGTGCAACTGTGTGTTGGAGCATAAAAGAACATCGACAGGGACGACCCACTTTGATTCATTCAAAGATTCTAAAATGCTTTCTGCTGCTGCGGACAAGAAAGCCAAACAACTCACATTCACCGAGGCATCAACCTCCAAAACCCTTTCGAGGGCTACAAGAAACGAGGTGAGAAGCCTACAAGATTGAAGCTGGTCAGATAACGAACGAGTAAATGAAAACAGAATGAGGCAGAGAAGTAAGTTTGTGTGTGTGTGTGAGAGAGAGAGAGAGTGTGATTAAAATAGCCCAATTGCTTTTACAATAAATAAACATTGAATGTGTTTAATTAAATAGTAAAGGGGTTTAACGTTAGTGGCAGGTTGTGTGTGAGAGAGAATAAATAAATAAGACAGCCCAATATTTATTTGTTCCGCATATTTAGCATATTTCGCAACTTCCCGCAATTTCACCGCATAAAATTACATAAAACCCTGCATGTTTGATCGCATAATCAAGGATTTTTTGCCCGCGTTGTTCTGCAGGGTCTAATTTAATTACACAAAAGATGCGGTGGTGTATGTAGAGGAAACTTCTGTGTAGCTATGCAGTGGGAGTCACCGACTCAGGAAGGAGACACGGGAAGAGCAGTAGCTTTGATGTCAAACACATGATGGTTTATTTGGAGTTAACGGCCGGAGGATTCACATCACAAGTCCAAGAGTCAGAGGTTCTGACTTCACGGTAGAGTTGCCACATCAATTCTGAAGAACTCTACCCCAGACCCATGTATTTATCTAGTTCAGAGAGCATCATCAACATGCTGCATAACAAGATAGAATGATAACACCTCTATCAGCTGACGCCAACAGGCAGGAACAGGGAGACAAAACACTGAGAGCACAGCAGCCAAGGTTACAGGTGCCTGTGCTCAGTCAGGACAGTTTGAACTGATACACTGGGTCAAAGTTATGGGCCTTGGAAAATATTCCACAACAGTGTACAAATAGAATGTGCGAGTGGAGGCTCTCTCCCCATGTGTTCTTCCTGTCGTCATCTGTGGTCTTCTCCTATTGGCCGGCGTCGACAGGGGCGGGTCCAATGCAATTCCTGCCGGTTTCCGCTGCTGAATTACATCATTCTGGTGTCTGTGGTTATTTAAACATTCCCTAATAAATGTTATTCAGCGTCAATAAATGAGTGTTAAACCCAGTGTGTTTAGGGTACAACATCACATGTCATTTCACCTTCATTTTACGGTTTGAAAACGTAGCATTTTGCCACATGCTAATGCTAACCACATGTTAATGCTAACCAGAAATGACGGTCACTAGCGGACAACCGGAAGTCAAGTGTGAATATTCGGTTTTTTGAATAAAACAGATTTAAATTAAATCAAAGATAGAGTACTCGAGTCCTGGACTCGGACTCGAGTGCCGATTTTCGGGACTCATGACTCGACTCGGACTCGCGCACTGATTGACGCGCGACTTGGACTCGAAGAGTGGTGACTCGAGAGTGACTTGGACTCGTGAATTGGCGACTTGACTACAACACTGAATTAAATACAGTGTATTTAATTCAAATACGCCATATCAACATTAATTTTAATTTCTTACACCGTACAAATTATTGACCTCTGCTTAAAAATACAAAAATCACAGCCCATTCATTTGGCCTTTCTTTCATGCTGTGCAAAGAAAAAGCAACCTCTTAATCCAGATATCTAACCATGACTCGTGCACGGTGTGGCATGACCACCAAAACAGAAAGATATGGACACAAGTTGTGTGCAAATGTATTTAGTTTCCTATCCAAGTGAACATGATTAAAGTAGGGGGTGGACCTAACATCCTCTAGGGGGGTCCGGGGGCATGCTCCACCGGGAAGATTTTTAAATGTTGAAGTTAAAAGCATCAATCTGGTGCACTTTGAGAGCGACATGAAGAGATCTATGGATACATCTCTCAACACCCAGATGAAACAGAACTGTAAACAGATTTATTTTTCTTTATGGATATTTTACAAATCACTCCCCTTTCAAACTGTATTCTTGTTTATTAATAACAACTTTTTTGTACTGTCATATAGTATTGTATACCTATTTTTCATTACATTACATTACATTTAGCTGACGCTTTTATCCAAAGCGACTTACAATAAGTGCGTTCGACCAACAAAATACAAACTTGAAGAAAACAGAATCATATAAGTACATCAGGTTTCATAGAGCAAAAACATTTTAAGTGCTACTCAACTGGCTTTAGATAAGCCAGTCCTTTATTAGTATATAAGTGCTTTGTTAATAGTTCTATCGCTCAAAGTGGAGTCGAAAGAGATGAGTTTTCAGTCTGCGCCGGAAGGTGTGTAAGCTATCTGCTGTCCTGATGTCAATGGGGAGCTCATTCCACCATTTAGGAGCCAGGATAGCAAACCCACGTGTTTTTGCTGATGGGAACTTGGGTCCCCTTCGCAGCGAGGGTGCAGCGAGCCGTTTGGTTGATGCAGAGCGGAGTGCACGTGCTGGGGTGTACGGTTTAACCATGTCCTGGATGTAGGAAGGGCCAGATCCATTCGCAGCATGGTAAGTGGATTCTAGCAGTTATCGGAAGCCAGTGAAGGCAGCGGAGGTGTGGGAGAATTTAGGAAGGTTGAAGACCAGGCGAGCAGCTGCATTCTGGATGAGCTGCAAAGGTCGGATGGCACATGCAGGTAGACCAGCCAGGAGGGAGTTACAGTAGTCTAGGCGTGAGATGACGAGAGCCTGGACCAGAACCTGCGTCGCTTTCTGGGTCAGCTGGGGACGCATCCTCCTGATGTTGTAAAGCGTGTATCTGCAGCAGCGGGTTGTAGCAGCTATGTTTGCAGTGAAGGACAGGTTGTTATCTAGGGTCACACCCAGATTCCTTGCAGTCTGAGTCGGGGAAACAACAGAGGTGCCAATGTTGATTGTTAGGTCAAGAGTGGGACAATCTTTTCCCGGAAGGAAGAGCAGTTCAGTCTTGTCAAGGTTGAGCTTGAGGTGATGATCAGACATCCACTGAGAGATGTCAGCTAGACAAGCAGAGATGCGTGCGACGACCTGGGTCTCTGAGCGGGGAAAGGACAGAACTAATTGGGTGTCGTCAGCGTAGCAGTGGTATGAAAAACCATGCGGGCTAATGACTGATCCGAGCGAGTTTGTGTACAAGGAGAAGAGGAGGGGACCAAGAACAGAGCCCTGAGGGACCCCTGTAGTTAATTGACAAGGGTCGGACTCGGACCCTCTCCAAGTAACCCTGTAGGTGCGGTCTTTGAGGTATGAGGTGAGGAGGGAAAGTGCAGAGCCTGAAACTCCAAGTGCTTGGAGAGTGCGAAGGAGGATCTGATGATTCACCGTGTCAAATGCAGCAGACAGGTCCAAAAGGATGATGACAGAGGAGAGGGAGGCTGCTTTAGCAGTGTGCAGTTCCTCAGTGACAGCAAGGAGGGCAGTTTCTGTGGAGTGACCTGCCTTGAAACCAGACTGGTACGGATCCAGAAGGTTGTTCTGATGGAGATAGCAGGAGAGTTGTCTAAAGACAGCGCGTTCAAGTGTTTTAGACAGGAACGGGAGGAGAGAGACAGGCCTGTAGTTTATAACATCTGACGGGTTGAGAGTGGGTTTCTTTAGGAGAGGGTTTACTCTTGCCTCCTTGAGACTGTTTGGAAAGTGACCAGAAGTTAGAGAAGTGTTGATGAAATGGGTGAGAAACGGTAGAATATCAGGAGCGATAGTCTGAAGGAGGTTTGAAGGGATAGGGTCCAGAGGACAGGTGGTAGGGCGGGCAGAGGTAATGAGGGTAAGAACCTCACTTGGAGAGAGAGGGGAAAAGGAGGGTCTGGTGACCCAGCGGTGAGTAGAGGTGAGTCAGAAAAAGAAGAGAGAATATCAACCTTTTTTTCAAAGTGGTTAACAAAGTCGCTTGACAGAAGGGAGAGGCTTTGGGGGGGTCCAAGAGGGTGGAGAAGATGGAAAATAGTTTTTTAGGATTGGAATAGGAAGATTGGATCTTATCTTGAAAGAAAGTGCTTTTTGCCTGAGAGATCGAAGCAGAGAAAGAGGAGAGGAGAGCCTGATAGGTTTGGAGGTCGTCACGGTGTTTGGATTTCCACCATTTCCGCTCTGCTGCCCGAGGGACGGTTCTATTAGCACGCAGTGCGTCATTCAGCCAGGGAGCAGGAGGGGACTGACGAGCCTGCCGAGATGTGAGAGGACAGAGAGAGTCCAGAGAGGATGAGAGAGTAGAGAGGAGAGTTTCTGCAGCAGAGTTTGGAGGTAGGAGTTGGAACGAGTCAGAGGAAGGGAGGGCTGAGAGCACCGATGAGGCAAAGGTAGAGGGGGAGAGGGAACGAAGGTTACGGCGGACAGGTGCAGGATGGGAAGAGATTAGTTTGTTATGTTTGGAAAGGGGTAAAGAGAATGAAATTAAGAAGTGATCGGATGTGTGGAGCGGTTTTACAGAGAGGTTAGAAGTAGTGCAGTTCCTTGAGAATATGAGATCCAGGACATTGCCAGCTTTATGAGTTGGTGGGGACGGAGACAGTGAGAAAGCAAAGGCGGTTAACAGAGATGTTAGTTCGTCTATCTTCCCCGTCTGGAGGTTGAAG